AAAAAAAAAAAATTATATTGATATGTTCATTTTTGAAAAAGTTACGGCAGTTTTTAGTAAAAAAAATTAAAAAAATTTCGAAAATTAGCGATTTTTAAATTTGTAATTTTTTTGGAGGTTTCCCCCATTTATAGGGAACGAGGGAAATTTTTTCAATTTTGAAGAGTAATGTCTTCGACTAGATACGATTTGTGATCTTTTGACGTATCGTTGAAAGAAATCCGTTCGGTGAGAGCTGAAAAAAAGTGAGAACAGACACAAAAAAATAAAAAAAAAAACACATCTTAGTAAAACCAATACCTTCTCAGCTTCGCATCGAAGCTAATGTTTGACAAAATATCATCACATATTTGGACGAAAATGTTGTGATCCATTAGGAGTTCATAAACGCACTATAAAAAAAAGTTTAAGGGAAATAAGTTTAAAACATGTTTCTAAAATAAAAAAAAATGTTTCTGTTATTCCTGTTAAGTCTGTATGTCGTAATTGCTACAGCAATATTTTTGAAAAGGATAAAGTAAAAAATGACCCTATAGAAATGTTATCTGATTCATTAAATCAAAGTTTCAATGATGATTTATTTTTTTTCGGAAGAAGAAAGAAATAATAAAGTTGACTCGGTTTTTAATAAATTTAATATGTCACCTTTATTAAATTTAAGAAAATTAAATTCTGCTCATATTCCCAATGCAATTCATAAAAAAGTCGAAAAAGTATCTTTTAATTTACGTTTTGAGTTAAAAGCTATTCTTAAATTTGCATCAAGCTCTAAACATTTTCAAACTTCTCATTTATCAGAATATGAAGGATTGATTAACAAATTAAAAGAAAAGATGATTGTTTCTTCAAAAGAAGATAAAGTAAAGTTTATTAGTTTATTGCCCAATTTGTGGTCAAGAGATAAAATCTGTAGAGTTTAATGTTTCTGAATATATGGTTTGAACAACTCTTGAGTTAGTTAAAAAGAAGGAATTTTTCCTCAACTTTGAAAAAAAAAACCGGTAATGTTATTAATAATGAACTAGTTGAGCTCGTTTTTAAATTTTATGACTATGATGAAAATAGTAGGATCAGCCCTAGTAAAAAAAATTATGTTAATATTAAAATAAATGGTTCAAATGAGCTATATTAAAAAAGATTATTATTTTGCAATTTAAATAAATTATATGTGAAATTTAAATTAGTGAATCCAAATTTGAAAATTGGTAGATCTAAATTATGTGCACTTAAACCTAATAATGTAAATAGGTAGGTTGGTGTATATTGGCTGGATCTTCAGGCGCACATAATGTGTGCGTCTGTGTTCACCATCAAAATGTAAAGCTCATGGTTGAAGGAGCTGGGTTAGAAGCTGGTTATAAATACTATCTAAATTGTTTAGTTAGTTTGTATTGAAAATTATAATTGTATGATGGGAGAATGCGATATATGTTTGAATTGTAATGATAGTTTAGAAAAATGCTTTATGACAAATTAGATGATTGTCCAGAAAATATTGTATATAAAAAATGGATTAGTACAGATAGAGCTGATTTAGTAACTAATATTTTACCTGTTGATGATTTTATTCATTCATTAAGTGAAAAATTGTGTAATTTAAAGAATCATTATTAAACATAAAAAATTCTAGCAAGATATTTCAAAAGTTCTAAAGAAAATATTCTAAAAATTTTCTAAAGAAAATTTATCAACAACAGATTGCATAGTTCTGCCCGAATTTTCATTAAATTATAGTTTTATCATGATGAAATACAAAATTATTATTGGGCTAATAAACAGGCTACCCTTCATACTTTTGTTTATTATTACAAAGCTGATAATGAAATTAAATGCAGATGCTTATGTGTTATAAGTGACCACTTTGAACATAATACGGTAGCAGTACAAGCAAGTACAAAAATATCTGATAAGTGATTTAAAGGCAATATGTCCTTTAACAAAAAAAAATTATATATTTTAGTGACAGTGCCGGCAGTCAATATAAATAAAAAAATTTATGAATAAAAGCTATCATAGTGAAAATTTTGGAATTGAAGCTGAGTGGATTTTGTTTGCATCCTGCCATTGAAAAAATGCGAGTGATGGTGTTGGTGGCACAACATAAAGACAAGTTACTAAGCATAGTTTACAGAAGGTGCGTGAAATTCATATATTAACTCCAGAAACAATTAACAATTTTTGTGTTCAAAATATAACAGGAATAAAATATTTTTTTGTTCTTACCAGTGAAGTTAATGAACATGAAAAAAAGTTAAAACGATTCCAGGCACGAAGCAAACACATAGAATAGTACCTTTGAAAAAAAATTTTATAAGGTGTTATAAAATTTCATCTTCTGCTCAATATCAAGATTTAAAATGTACAAAGTAAAATATATATATTGTGTGTAATTGTCTGTTATAAAACTTTTCTATTATAAATTCTCAAATATTTTGATTATTTAATTATTATTTGTAAATAGTAATTAATAAATTTATAATTAACTTTAAATTAAAAATTAATAACCATACAATGTCCAATTAGAAAAGAATATTTAAATATAGTTTTTGCAATGATTTACAATATAATAATAAAAAAAAAAAAGGGATTTTTCAAAGCTAATTTTAAGTTGGTTTCAGTAAAACACCAAAGTTGAAAATTTTACCATAGAAAGTCAGCATGTGTAACAACATTGTGTGAAATTTTTATGATTTAACTTTAAATAAGTTAAAATTGCTTCCTAAAAATCGTTATTTTAGAAATTTGAACTTTTTTATACTTGTGTTACTAAAAAAAGACCAAAGTAAAAAAATTGTATTCCATCGTTAATTTTAATTTTGAAAATGTCATTTTTTTACAAAAACAATTACTAGACATGTTAGTAAACCTCATAATGAAAAAGTGATGAAGTTTTAAAGTCTTTAGTATAAATACATAGGTTTCAGGGATATTTTTAAGAAATACCTGTATTTTGCAAATTCAAAATTTTTCAGGTCATAAATCTACTTTCACCTAAAAATTTTTTTTTGGAAATTTTTTATTTAAACACTAGGTAACTCATGTGTAAAATTAAAATAGTCGCGCAACCACTCTGGATGATTTGGTATGGATTGACCTAGCTACATTTTGTTTCTTCTTATTTTGTTGTTCCAGTAACTCCATCGCTGCCATTTTTTTCCATTACACGAAGCAATAAATATGTCATTCTGCATCAAAACCAATGATAAAAAATGACATTTTATAGGCAATCACTTCTATTTAATTTTTCATGAATTAACCTGTATATTTACAAACTCATTAACTGTATCTTAATTTAATTAAAATAAAAAAGAATAAGGTACTGTATTAACTATCAAAAATTTTTAATTATACTTTCGATCATATCAAGGTTGTATTTATATCATTTTGGCAAATTATTGCATTAAAAATGGAGTGCATTTTTTAAAATTCACATCAAATAAACTAAATTAACAAATTATCGGAAATCTCTATTTACTATCAATAATTTATTGTTAGTAATATGTAATATATTAAGCAAAAATTTATATTACAGTATAACAAATTAAATTATATGATTTTATAAATCAAAGTATTTATTTCTATATCATTTCAAACAGTTGAAGAATATAAATATTTATTGAACACACAGGTTTATCAACTGCAGTTAATTCAAACTGCATGTATTAATTATATTTAAAATTTATGCACAACTGTATATATTTGAAATAAAATGCATTTTACAATTTATTTTTTGGAGATTGAACTAGAATGAATTTAAGTGATGAGATAAGAAAACATTAAATTCAATTGATTTTTAATTAGTTGCATTTTTATGGGAATTGTAAAAACAAATGAGATTTTGGTTTTTATTACTCTAGTATCTCAATAAAAGGTTCTCGCTGTACTTAATGAGATAGTCAACAAGTGTTATGTATTATTGATGCGCTGTAAGGTGCATTTATAAATTAATTAAAAAATGCATCTTTAACTGTATTGTATGAATAAATTTAAAGAATGTTTTTTTCATTCAATTAATATTTATTTATTGTATAAAAAATATAACTATGTTTATAAGTATATAATATATATACAGTAGGTATTTAAAATATAAATTGAGAATAAAAAATAATTTTTTTAAATAATACAAATTATACTTAAACAACTAAAATATCTTGATGACTTTTTTGGGGATAATTTTTGGCTTAAGTCAAAATTTGTAATTATTTTTCTTTTTTAATTTTTATTTCATTTATATAAGTTGAAATAAAATCCAAAATAACTTTGACAAATATAGATTATAATTTTAATTCTCTTCATTTTATGTTAAAATGTAGTAATACTTTTTATTTAAAATGTTAAATAATGATATTAGACCATAAGAATAATTAATTTTATGCTTTTATAGGTTATTAATTTTTATTTGATAAAATGTCTCAAAACAAAAGAAAAAGGAACAACCGGGGTAATATGGTAATTCTTAATTCAGGTAATTTTATACTATTTATTATTGTATTGATTTTTAACTAATAACATAAACCATATTTATTTTATGTTTTTACATAGTTCACTCCTGAAAATTTTTAGCATATTTATTATTTTATTTATATAATTATTATATTTACTATTATTATGTAATATAATCTAAATGGATGAGTTCAACTCAAAAAAAAAAAAAATTAATATTTATTATTCATTATTGAAAGACCCATCACAAAATAAAACTATGAAAAAGTACATTTTTAAAAATAAATTATATGAACATTTTATGATATTACTCCTGTAATGAATTTTTTAATTACTTTAAGAAAACAATGAAGTTGATTCTAAAAAAGAAGAAATGGAGAGAAGAAGTAACAGAAGGTAATAAGATATTAATTATCATTTAGTTAAAATAGAAGTTTAAATTTATAATTTTTCACAATTTATCTGTTAAAACTATATTTTTATATAAGATACATCTAAACGATGAGGTTGTAACTCCACGATTCTATTGAAAAATTAATATGTTTTAACAAATCTTAAATAAAATGTGTAATTATTACTCTAAATAATATCTATTTAGTTTAAAGCATCTTTATAGTCTAGACATCAGTTTTTATATAACCCCGTTAAATATTTCTAATTCCAAATCTTTTAACCACATCTTCCATGATCTCATCGTTTGAAAAAATTTGTCTATTTATAAACTTCTTTAATTTATTGAAAAGACCATAATCTGATGGTAAAAATTACAGTAAGTTTCGGTAAGTGAGTGAGTCACAATTTCCCATAAAAAAAATTAGGCATATCTTGAGTAGTTCATACAATGTAGGGTATGGAGGTGTAAAAAATTGACACACCATAAATTAATATGCCTCTTCTTTTGTCTTAGATTTTTGTTTAAACTACCAATGGCTTTTTTAGTATGTATCAGTGTTTGTGTTGGTCTCTCTCAGTGGCGTAGCCAGGGGGGGGGCTAGTGGGGCTAAGCCCCCCCATTGGGCGTATTTTTCTTATTCTTTTGAAATATTTAAATTTAAATATGAAAATTGTATAACAAATTTTATATATTTGAAATAGTAAATACGTTAATGGTAAATCAACGTTAATATGCTATCAATATTTACTATCACATATCAATAAATATTTCAATTTACACATATACTATCGTCTTCTACACTTTATAAAATTTAGCCCCCTCCATGCGAAAATCCTGGCTACGCCTCTGATCTCTCTGACCTTAAAATTGACCAGTGTGTTTCTTTTCCAGACCCCAAAAAGAGGAAATATTTTTTTTTCATGAATTTGACTTTTATGACAACATTTTTAACAAATGTTTACATTTGATAGCTTATTAAAAATTATTACAACTTTCTTTACATTGTTATGGTGTTAACATTGAAAAAATACAATCCATATATCCTGCATAGTCTTTATAAACGTACTTTCTGGACGTTCCCATATGCTACAATTACATTAGTGGCTCTCGATATAATAATAATTTTTTTTTTTCAGAGATTTGAACTTGAATTTCCTTAAAGACCAATTAAAAGTTGTAATTAGGTTCTATAAAGTATTTTATACCATAAAAAAAAAATCTATAACGAATACTACAAAAAACTCAAATTAAATATGGGGCTTAGATTTTAAAGATCACTAAAATACAAAAAAAAATTTTTCAAATTACTATTGTAAAAAAACTAATTAGGTTGGCTGAAAAAGCTGGACAGTTCTTTGATAGAAAATTTAAATCATTATCACCATTTTTGGTTTTACTATAATAGCCATTAAAAAATATAATTTGTAAAATGAAGTTTTTTTACAGAAAAAAAAGAAAGATTATCGGGCATCACAATTAGTCATTATGGACAGATTATATTATTCTATTATACATTCATTAAATAATAAAATTTTGACTGTATACCTAATAAAACAATAGAATCCTTTTGTCTTAAATGAAACGGTCTGTGATGGCCAAATGTAACACCCAACCATGATTCGTCATAATCGTGTCAAACGGATTCTATTGTTTAATGAATGTATAAGATGAAAAAGCGTTTATGTTTGATAAATGTGTCTGTTTGATCTACGTTTACATTCCATGATTGTTTGCAATTTATTGTAGTAATATAAATAAATAATATCAATTTTAAATTCATACAATTTTTATTTTTAATTAATATATTATTTTTTAATAACAATAATTTATTACAATTACAAATTAATTTATAATTTATTAATTAATTTTGGCAAATTAATTAAAATAATTTAATTACTCAAATTCCAAAAAAAAAATACTTCAATTTTCGAACAATAAAAAGTGCTACATATATTTTATATTATAATTTAATTAAATACATTTATTTTTATAATTATATTAATTAAAATAAGTAATTGTCAAGGTACATTAATACTTTGTATTGAAAAATATAAAAAATATAAAAATAAACAAATGTAATTATATGATAATATAAAATATAATTTAGTATATTATGTTATATATAAATAAATATATAAAATATTTTTTATATTTTTGTTTATTTTGAATTGTTTTTATAAGTAAATTAATAATTTATATAAATAATAAATATTATGTATAATTATTTCATTTTTTTATTAATGAAAATAATTAATTAATTTATAGGTATTAAATTTATTATATAAACAAATAATTAAATATATATATTGATTCTTTTAAAACTAGTCTGTCAATTTGTCTTAAAATATCAAGTTTTTTTAAAAATTTATTTTGAAGTTTTGTTAGTTACATATGTATTTCCATATGTATTTATCTAATATGAAATAATTTTTAGGTCCATCCCTTATACATTATTTCATACTTAGGTGAGAGGAAAAATACGACAGGGAAATGACTAATGATAAAAATAGTAGCATCTACTCCTCACTTCCAGTTATTACTTTAAATTTTTAATAACGTCTAAAATACTGGTCCAAATATTGTTATCAACCAGTCATTTTCTTAATTAAATAATTTTTTATTTTATAAGCTAGTTTAATATGTATGTTTTTATTTGAAAAAATAAAGTTCACTCCCCTAACTTTATGTTTTAAGAGAAATTGAGTGGCTAGTTTAAAAGAATCAGTCTTTATAAGATATATAAATGTAATACCTATAAATTTAATTAATAATATGTATTAATGTAAATAGAAATGAATATTATCTATATATACTTAATAAATAATACTAAGTAACTAATTATATTTTATATTATAATTTAGCCATGTATTTTCGAAAATTAAAGTAATGTTATTTAAAAAATTTAAAATAATTAATTTTAAATAAATTTGATTCTCTGTAAAAAAAAAACACATTAGATGATATAATTTTGACACAATATTTTCATAATATCCAACCAAACATTACATTAGTTATTTCAATTATCATAAGCCCATTATATCTTTTGTGACAATAAAATAAAAAGATCAATTTTAAATAAAAATAAAATCTTTAGATTTTATCAAATCGATAGATTTTATTTAGACTCAAATACCTTAAATAATCGATATTACCTAAATCAATGAATACATGTTCAAAACCTAAAAAAAAATTATACTAATTCATCTAATATTGTTTGTATAATGATTACTCTTTTTAAATAGTTTACCATCATCAAATAGAACTCAGAATAATTCTATGTCAAAAATTGAATCTTGTAAGATAATTCAATTTAGTAGAATAATTTTATACTTCAATTAAATCTTATATTTTTTAGCAAAACGTTCACAAAGAGATTTGTTGATTGATGAATTAAATAGTGGTCAAGTTGATTGTGCTGTATGTTATGAAAAAATAACAAATGACGAACAAATTTGGAGTTGTATGAATTGTTATCAAATTTTTCATCTGAAATGTGTAATGCGATGGTTTTGTAAATCTTATTATAATGGTAAGATTATTTAATTTGTCACATTAAGTAAAAATTATAATTTATATTATGTATTAGTTTTGCAAAAAAAAAAAAAAGTTTTCTTAAATTTCTTTTGATTTGTTGATCACTTTTTCTTTTTTATAAATCTATTTTATTTCGGTAATTGATAATATTTTACATTTTTATATCAAACGTTTTATTTTCTACATATTAACAATTAAATCTGTTTTATATTCAAATTTTTTATATTATTTTTCTTAATATTGTGATAGACACACACACAAAAAAAATAAACGCACAGTTAGGTTAATATTTTTTTAGCTTCGCATCAAAGCTAAAACATGATGAACATATTTTAATACCTTAAGTATTTAGATTTTAATTAATTTTAGGAAATAATTGGAAGTGTCCAGCCTGTCAATGTGAAATAAGTGGAAAACCCATCTATTCGTGTTTTTGCAGACATTTAACTAACCCTTTTAGTAATAATATAGATACTCCTCATTCATGTGGGCAAGTATGTAATAGACAAAAGAAAAATTTCAGTTCATCTTTCTATTGTAAACACGAATGTACTTTATTATGTCATCCTGGTCCGTGTCCTCAATGTGAGGTAACTGTTTCAAGGTAAAAATATAAAAAGTAGTAACATAAAAATTATATATAAACATAAGTAAAAAATATTTACTCATCTTAGTTTTTTAGACTAAATGTCTGAATTTTAGTTCCTAAGAAATATTAAAAAAAAAAATTAAGATATACATAATAAGAGGCTAATTCCAAAAATAATGCACAAACATAATTTTCTCTCTATAGTTGACATATAACTAAATATCATATAACAATTTAACCTAAGTGTACTCTACACATTGATAAATTTGACAATCAAATATGTAGGCACATATTTATATTTTACATTTGTTTGTTTACAACTAAGTATTGACCTCCATTGACATTACATATTTAGACATAGTCTTTTATAAAAATTAAATTATGTTAAGTCCTATACTTACCCAAATTTAAAATTTATACCATGTAGTGCAAGGAAATTACCCAACACAAACCAAATATATATAATTTTAATAGTCCTCTTTTTTTAGTGATAACCATTAAGTAGCTGAGTTGCTATCACCCCATCTGTTTGACATATATTTTCATAAGTTTGCTTCCTTTGCATGACTGGTCTATTAGCGATTTCTGTTGGTATTTTTTATTTTAAATGAAAATTTTTAAATTTTATTAAAAATTATCAGACATTTACCACATACTTCTTACTGTTGTGAATTTTAGTTATAAATTTAGTTAAGTATAAGTTTTTATCAAAGAATATATGTTTAAATTTGTAGCGTTTGCCGAGGTTATAATCTAGCTATAAACAAACAAATTTAGGGTATAAATACGTGCATATATATTGTATTGACAGATTTATCAGTATCTAGACGAAATTTGAGAAAATGTTTTTATAATATTACTTGGTAAGTTTAATATCAATTATAATGAGCAACAAAACTGATGATGTATCAGTGCTAAACACATATATGAATTTTTAGTACTTTTTTGTGGCTTTTTGAGTGAGGTATTTTTAATATTTTTTAGTTTCAAATATATTTTCAATTTTAAATAGTATTAGCCAAAAGTGATAAAATCTTATTATATAGGTGTTCAATAAGTAAAGAAATAGGTTTCTATTGTTCACATTATTTGTAACAATTAACGTGTTTCTTTAAATTTGAACACTTGTATAATATCAATATTTATATTTTTTCTGGTTAATCTTTTGATTTTTAATATTTTTTAACTGCATAAATAGTCTTTAAATTAAATTAATTTAATGTACCTATAGAAACTGTGAATGTGGAAAAATACAATTTGATGTTCCATGTAGCAGCCCACCTCCTATTTTATGTCAAAATATATGTTCAAAATTACTTAGTTGTAATTTTCATTTTTGTGGAAAAAAATGTCATGCTGGTAGTTGTGACTCTTGTAAATATAACTGCCCTAAAGGTATTTCCATGTCAATTTTTGAGAAATGTATATGTCTAAGATTTTATGTGTCAATATATTTAAAATTAATATTTTTCTAACTATTATTCCTTATTCTCAAAACAAAAATTCAGTATATAGAATGTTTGACTTCACTGTTTTTTATCCTAAGATTAAGTGTTTAAAATATAATTATATTTTTAGAAAATAGCTCAAATTTAAATGATGATCAAGTTTTAGCACTACAAAATGATCCTTATATAGCACAAAATGTATGTCAGCAAAATAGAAACTGTCTTCCAGATGGTGTGACTGAAGAAGAATTAAGAATGTTAGGAATTGAACCTTTAGAATTTATTAATACTAATCAAGAAAGAAGAGATTATGTTAATCATTTTTTTGAAATTGATACTTCTGATTATAGTGGAGATGAAAATTTTAGCATTTCAACTCTAAATAGAAACTACAGATATAATATGTTACTTACTAGATTAAATAGCTTAGTTGATCAACATCTTCAAGACTCTATTGAATCTTCTAGTTCCAGTAACGAATTAAATGACTATAGTGATGATTCAAGTATTAATTCTACTTTAAGTACAAACTCACAAGATTATTGATTGTTGTACAATAAGTATTTCTAAAATATGTTAGAATTTTTTTTTTTTCAAATTTAATTATTTGATTAATTTAAATTGTTCATTTATCATAGAATTTAAAAAATTTAAGTTATATTACAATCAATAATTGTATATATTGAAAAGTTAGACTTGATTTATGTATTTTATTGTTGTTTAAATATTTTCTTTATAACATTCATATATTAATTTTGTTTAAATGGAGTAAAAAGATTACTATACCAAAATTTATCTCATCTTTTTTTCAAAATTATTCGTAGGCAAAAATCAAGGAAGAGATCAGAGGACTGAGACGTTGGATAAGACCATTGGCATAAAATTATGGTATTTTTACCATATCCTTACTAACGGTGTTACTTATTTATATAAAAAATACTTATAGTATAACTGGCTATTTATGTTCAAAAATTAAATTTTTTTGTTATTCATTAAAAATTGATAAACGTGGCTGGGAATGTCTAATAATAAAAATAATTATAAGTCGCGTCTCACCTCCTGTCTAAATTTTTAAATATTTATAGAATTATATTTCCGTCATAACTATTAGTACAGGCGTTAAGTGCGCCTTAGAGACTACCCTAGATTTAATGTTATTAGCCCATAAAAATTCAGTAAAATCATACATATCAGTGCCATATCCAGAATATTTTTTCCAAAATATGTATGCATGCATAGAAAGTTGGAATTATATAGGTGATTCTTTTAATGCTGGTCACTCAATTTCTCTTAAGAGACTTACACACTAAACGTTTAATCGCGTGCGTACACGTTTTTAAAAACGCGGTGGTTTTGAACGCGAACGCCATTCATGTGCATACTGCAAGCGTTTTAACGCGTCTGTATAAAGAACATTAGCCCGCCATAAGCTACAGTATAATCACAACAGTTTCGAAATTTCTCGTGGTAGTATTTACTCTGATTATTTTTTTTTTATTTTTTAAAGTATTAAATAAGTTGCAATGAAGACATTAGATTATGTAAAAGTTGCATGCGTAGTGTACGCCATGTATCATCGCTATACAAAAAAACAAAAAATTAATAAAAAGAAAGTGTTCGTAGACACTTTACTTAGACACTCACCCCCAAAATTTAAAAAAAGCCCGAGAAGGTTAATTATTTAACTTTGAGGAGTTATCCCGAAGATTTTTACAGGTATTACCGTATAGACATACAGTAATACCTGAAGAACAAACCCAACCTAACCTAAAAAATTACATAATTATATTATTACATGATATTTTATATCATATATTATATCTTTTAGTATATGATTTATTATAACATTCAAAAGTATTAAATATTAGTTTATAATATGGATTTTGACTCATTGAAATAATTTAGTCGGCAATTTATCACTAACAGTTGGCAAAATTCAATCCACACCCTTCTAAATAATATCTCTATGATCGCCCATGTTGAAATCAAAATAATATGTTAAAACTACATTATTATTTGCTGAAACAGCTTTGATATAAAGATATTGTGTATTGTGAGTATAATTTAAAAAAACTAGGGCGGTCCTCCTTATTTTATATAATAGGTATTCATAAGAATGTAAAAATCATTTTAATTTTTTTTTGTGGCTATTATCACTTTTTCTTAGCTATCACCGAACCGATTTCTTTTAACGATACGTCAAAGATCACAAATCGTATTTAGTAAAGACATTACCCTCAAAAATTGAAAACATTTTTACATAAAAAAGCATTGCATAATGATTTTATGACCTTCAACTTTTATATACGTTTGCTGTGATAACTACTTTAAAATTGTTGTAATTTTTCCGTAAAAATTACAATATTAAATTATTATACATCAATTATGTATATTTAATTGTTATAATAAATATTTATTTATTCATTACACTTATAAATCATAAAACGTAATCAGGATATATATAAAGAAATGTGAGATCGTGTTGCTTTTGGAATAATCCATTATTTTTTTTTAATTATATGCTATCTACAGATTTGCATCGAAGTGTTTTTTATAATAGTGATTTTAATCACTGTCAGATTAAATCTAAACTGAACCCAACTATACCATGTCCCTACTGTGCTGGGTTTTTTATTTATAATTACTTCCCACAAAAAGTTGAAAAAAAAAATTTCAAATAAAATGTTCGACAAAATTTAATTTATATGATTTGAAGTGAGTTCCTATGTAAAACTATACATCTATACTAATAATAGTATTCTCCCCTATTAATATTCAATTTTAAAGTATACAGTAATTATATAAATTGAAATGTATTAGGCTAATACATGTATAATCGTATTAATTTTATTAATTGTATATGATAAGTCAATTTTACATTTATATATTATGTATAATTGACTTTTTCAAATATATGATATTAATAAAATGTTCTGTGTCAAAAGACATGGTAGATAGAAGACAAAAGAAAATGAATCCAAAATAATACGTGAAATTAAATTGAATGAGCCCCACGTGCCTGAAAATCGCGGCGTTTAATAGCCCCGTGTAACATGATAACATGCGTTTTGAATTGTGTTTTTAGCGATCAGTCGCGTGCGATCGCCCAAAATCAAACCTATACGACCAGTTGCATTCGAACGCATGTTTTTTGTCATAGTGTGCATGGTTCAATTTAAATGCAGGTGTTTTATATAAAGCGATTAATCAACGAGTTTTTCAAAATGCGTATGCGCACGTTTAAACGCCTAGTGTGTAAGCCTCTTTAAAATAATATTTATATTACGAAAATTATTTTTAGTTATATATATTTCTCGATTTATATATTATTAGTTACTTTTTCTATTCATCCTTTACACTTTATAAGGGCGTCAACTTAATTTATTTAATGGTTAGCTTATAAAATAAAAAAATTAACTAATTAAGAAAATTATTGGTCGATTCAAACTTTTAGCATTTCAAAAGTTATTCATATTTTTTACACGCCTATATTAGTTTCTCACATATATGTCTGTTGACAGTGCTCGAATTGGCAAAAAATAAGTAGGGGAGCTCAACCTAACAATTTGAAAACTGCGTCCCTAGCATTTTGAAGACCTTTTTTTTTTTACTCATTACTTTATTTAGTATTTATAAATAAATCATATTTCATTATCATACTATAATGAAATATGATATCATATAAATTATAAAAACGGTAGCACAGTGGGGTCGAGGCACAGTGTGGACGAGGCATAGATAGGACAAGTATAGATGATATCTGACAGTGAT